ATATATACATATACATATATATCTTTGCCAGATCTGTCACTGTCCACTTTTTTTTCTATGTAATATTGTATTCATTATAAGCATTGTTATACTGAGTAATCATAACTGTAGCCTGTATCCAGACACAGAGCAGGACAGATGTCTTGTCATTTATTTAGAGGATCAGTCTGCCCATAATTGGTATTTCAGTTCATGTTTGAAAGTTCAATCACCCAACAGTTTCTTATGTTTCTGAGAATTCCAAGTATATATACAGACAGAAATTCACTGATCCGGATTCTCACATCAAATGTAGCAAGTAAAACTTGCATAGAGCACCCTATTCCAGTCCAATTAAATGGAAAAAAAATGTAGAAGAGAGTATGAGTTACTATTACAATATGAAGAAACCACAGGATTTAAATGTTGTTATCCTCATCCATCTTGTAAGATAGCTGTTATGCATGTATTTGTAAAACAAGTAAAAGATTTGTAATATGGTGTAGCTTGTTAATAGTAGTCAGATGCAGACAGTCCTGGATTTACTTCAGTAAAGAAAATACAATGCAGGCTAAATTTCAAAGATATCTTTTTTTCAACGCATTTTGGACTAAGCTTTGGAAGGAATGGAGCTTGTTCTGAAATCACAATGAAATAAAGTTTTCTTTAAAGTTTAGCTACACCAACTATACCAGTGAAACCTGCCGACAGGAGGAAGCTCCACGTTTGCACAGCCACCTTACAAGGTGTGGATAACCGTATTTAAATCCTGTTGTTGCTTCATACTGAGATTGTTACTCTTAGAAGCCCTTTTCCATGTACTCTCTCTATACATTTGTCAGAGGGCTTTGCTGGTGAAAGCTCTTCTTTACCTAAAGTGACACTAAACTCAGGAGATAAATCTTAAAAATACATTCAAGGACCGTAACTATTAACAAAAATGTATCTTATTTGTGTATCACTCAGCTGTAGATCCTCAAATCATCTCTGAATTGGTGCTGACACTGTCCTTCCTTCTGGAGAGTGACTACTTTTGTTCCCCATGGTCCCTGTGTGTGCTGTAAAGTAGCTACTGCTCCAAGCTTGCTCCTGTGATGGACTACAATCTCAATACAAATTAGTAAACTAAACATGAGAGTGTAGTCCATCCTGGGAGCGAGCTTGGAGTGGAGGCTACTTTACAACACACACAGGTACCAGGGGGAACAAAAGTAGCCACCCTCCAGAAGGAAGGATAGTTTTGGCTTCAATTCAGAGATGATTTGAGGATCTACAGCTGAGTGATACACAAATAAGATACATTTTTGTTATAAGTTTGTTATTATTATGTATTTGAATGCATTTTTAAGATTTTACTCCTAAATTTAGTGTCACTTTAAATATGTTCATACCTGCCCTGGCAAGAAAAAAGATGTTCCACTCTCCCTGTTGGATTCTTAACGTATTTTATGTAACATAGAATTTAATAGAAGGAGTGGGAACACCCTAATGTGGATGGAGGCACCCAAAACTCCACAATGGAGCTGTTAAAAATCATTGGGTGATTCAGCCCTACTGTACTGTCTCTACCTGTACTTGGAATGTGCATTTTGGATTGACTGAAATTTTAATAGAAGGGGCCATTATTTCTATCTATTTGGGGACAAAAACATGAATGTTAAACGTAATCCTGATTTCTGCATTACTCGGCATTGTTCAAAAACACCATGTTCTAGATTTACACTGACAAGATCACTATAATGCTGAACTCAAGGCAAACATCTAAAAATATATATGGAAGTTGTCTTCTGTTTCTGTTCATGCAGTCCTATGATCTACAAAGCCGTAAAAGTATAGCCACCCTGGTGACCTACTTTTCTTTGCTGAAGTTAAGCAACACAGCTAGACCACCTCCCTGTCCCCATCTTCTGACTGGACAGGAAAGCAACAGCGACAGACTACCGAGGTCATGTCTCTGCTCTCTACCCCTATCTGCATTTTCTTTGTTAGCACAAATAAATGCAGCATGCCTGACTGGTCCCAAATACTACCCCTCTCTCTCCTAGTTTCTAGTGTTAATGTATACAAGGAATTAAACTGAAATCAAGTCAAAT